TACCCTGAGGATAACTGGTCTGACTATTGGAGACTGAGGCAAAGGCATTAAGCACTTTAGCCTCTTCCTCATCATTGGTGACAATGTCCTCCCCTGCATCCAACAAAGGATGGAGATTCTCCAAGGCTCTCCTTTTGTTGTTGATGTATTTGTAAAAACATTTTTTATTATCTCTCATAACTGCAAGCCAGGTTGAGTTCCAGCTGGGCTTTTGCCTTTCTATTTTTAACTCTGCATGACCTAACAAGATCCCTGTACTCTTTTTGGGTTGCCTGACCTTCTTCCAGAGGTGATAAATCACCAGGGTCCGTGGAGTCCCACCCTGTAAAAAGCTTAGTATCTTGACCACCTTGGAAAAGACACATGATCACGCTTGAGCCATGAAATAGTTTTGCTTCTCACACATTATTATAGTATATTATTATTCATTTATTAAAAAGTCCCATTTACTTTGTGATGACAGATGATATGCTGGTGACACTAAATCAAATCTCTCTTCCCCCACAAACATGTAGACACTTTGCCACTGACACTCTCACCATCAGTGTGGTTTGCTATTGGAACAGGTTGCCCCAAGAGGCTGTGGATCTCCCTCTTTGGAGATACTCATAACCCGACCAGACAAGGTCCTGAGCAACCTACTCTGAGTTTGCTCTGCTTTGAGTGGGAAGGTGGGATAAATAACTTCCAGAGGTCCCTTCCAACCTAAATTATTCTGTGATCATTCTGTGATAATCTGGTGCAAAGAATCTGTGGCACTTCTACTTTGTGTGAAGACCATTAACAATTACATGTTATCTGCATTTAGCACTTTACAAAAAATGTGCAAATCACCAATTTCCTTTATGAAAACTGCAGTGAACCACTTGCCATACTAGGTATTCAGTAGCAAAATCCTAGACAGGACAAAAAATCCAAACCAAATCAAAACAAACCCAAAACACGCCACCAAAAAACCCCAACAGATTCAAAGATTTTAAAGGCACAAGAGAATGAAGCAAAGTCAAAACTAGCCTTCTGCATATAAGTTAAAACTATGAACTCACATTAGACATCCTTTCAGAAAATCCAAGAAACCAGCATCATGGGTTTTCAGCACTGTGCTTAGATCCTTGGAGTCTGGGCATCTCTTTTTCCCCTTGCTGTTAGTTATGGATTTAGGGAAACCTTTGGAATCTTAAAAAGATAAAGACATGCTCAAAAAATTATATTAAAATTCCTCAACAAATCTTTAAGAGAGTTGCAAAAGCAGTACCCATATCCATCCTACTGACTTCCGTTTTGCCCTGCTGAATTGATAGTCTCTTCCTGAATGAAGTTTCATCAACTAAGAAGCAGCTACGGTTCTCTGACCATACTCCCTACCAGTGATCTTAACTAGTGATTAACGAGCAGGGAGGAATCCCGCAAGGACAAACAATCAGAAGCACTTACCAAAGAACATTCGCTTTCTTGATGCAGCCTGGATAAAATCAGGTGGTGGAAGACCCAATACCTTCAACACAGAAAATGAATTCATGGAGTTACTCTTCATTTCACAAACATACATAACTGTCAGGAGAGATGAGGTATTTCACCCTCCTCCATTTGAAGAGAAGCTGAATGTAGCAGTTTACTGTGAAATGTCTACAAACCATTTTGTCTTGTGCCATTTATTGTAGAAGAAAATAAGGGGTTCCTCAGATTTCTTACACAGAAGATATGATTTTGTAAAGGATGACCCTGGGATCTTCACTACCGCAGAAGACTCTAAGGACAAGCATCTCTGTTAATGACACATATAGGAGGCCATATGGAGAGATGTTGTCTTTGAAAATCTTGTACAAACTAACATGGCACTAGAAGGGTCAGAACTTGGGACTGAGTTCAACATCAAGTTGCAGTTTAGTGATTGGTATGGAGTAACTAAGTAACTTGCTTTTATGGGTCAGCTTTGCACCTATTCTAATATTTGCACTGGGTAGGTGATCTGAGGTAGGAGATGTCACAGTACATTCCTAAAACTCTGAAAAACAGTTACAAAGATGACAGAGCCAAACTCCTTGGTAGGGGCAGACAGCATAAGAAGGGGCAACACCCATAAATTGTGGCTTGTGAAGTTCAGGGTGACTATTAGGAAAAAGTTTTTCACCAGGAGAGTAGAGCAGCAGCTGAGCAGGTCACCCAGAGAGTTTCTACTCAACCCTTTGAGGTTTTCAAGATTTGCTAGACAAGAGACACAGCTGACTAATCAAATGCTAACAAAAATCTCTCTCAGCAGGAGTTTGGACTAAGGAGATCTAATTCAACCAACACATATCTGATTTCTAAGAGAAGATGAGCCTGATATCATTAGATTGCTTTTCCTTCCCCTTAGATGTGATTCCTATGTTCTAACTTCTCCGTACAAATTCTGACCAGATTATGTCTCCTTCAGAAGCAAGTCAGTGAGTATACAAAGCAGTGTTTTGCAAAAAAACAGTTTTGCATTAGAGTCCATCCTATCAAAGAGCCCTTTGGCTGTAATAAACCTCCTTCTAAAAAAGTATATTCCATCATCTCTTGATATTTGTTGCTGGCAGTGTAGTTTATCAAATGAGTATGTGATGCAGAAGACAATCCCAAAAGTTACCTCCATGATACAGGCAAGTTGGTCAACCTCATTTTCACCTGGAAACAGTGGGTAGCCTGTGTAAAGCTCAGCCATGATACAGCCCAAGCTCCACATATCAACAGCCATAGCATAAGGATGACCAAGAATCACTTCAGGCGAGCGATAAAACCGGCTCTGAACATAAGTGTACACTACATCAAAACAGAAAATTAGACAAGAAGAAAAATATCATAAATGGGATAGAAATGTGGATTCCAGATTTTACAGAAAAGTGAAAAACATGTTCAGGCACCATATATCTACTCTATTAGCTGCCATTAAGGGATTGCTCACATAGGCTCTGAAAACCTTTTCTAATTCCATCCTAAAATCAAAGGGTGATATGCTTTCCATTGTTCTGTTTGGAAATTGCTCTTCAACAGGTTTTACCGAAAGAAATTATTCTACTAATGATATGATTCAGCTTATTCCATGTTAATTTTCCTATTTGGAAGTCCTCCTCTTGAATTGATCAACAGTTCTTGATTATCACATGCTTGCACTTCAGGAAATACTGGTTTCACTGACACCTAGGGAACTTCTATTGTCTTCTGATTTCCCCATTAATATATTATAGCCCCACAGCAGATATGAAAAGATCTCATTCCACGAATGGGACTCATCATAGTGAGCAGACTAATTCTTTTACCTCTTGTCAGTCAGGCAACTGAACACGATTACAGCATCCAAGCTCTGTTATTTTCTTATTGCTATCTCTCTGATGGTCACTTTGTTTATATTTCTGCACTTCTCTACATCCCCATGTGTTCAACATCTTTCTGGAAGGAAAGCGCCCTGAAAAGTAAGTGCTGCACAATATATGATTTCATCAAATCTGTACAGCTACAAGAGATTCTTGTGGTGGCAATCTGTGCCCTTGTGCATTTGACCAACCGTATAATTGTCTGCTTTTTCTCATTTTTGTCACAAATAAATAACTGACTTTCTGTTTTCTACTCTCTAATCTGTACTACTTTGACGGTTGTTCCACTTCTTGTTTCAGCTGACAGGGTCTCCTCAGTCACGCTCCATCTTTCCTTTCACTTGTTCTGTGTTTCAATTTGTTACTGTCTGCAAATATCTCAGGCTGCATCTCAGATTACATTCTACTCAAACATGGGCAAACCTAAAATGATTACCCACTCCCACAAACTGCGATGTAAATCTAATGGGCTGAATCCCAAAATATAGATGAACAGGTTTGGCTCAGCTTAAATATCAATCTTTCATAGGAAAAATATGAGCCATTTAAGAGTAGTTCTGTTTTTCTAAGTTAATAAAATGCAGTGCAGATTTCTTTCTTGGGTTTTGTTTTTTTGTTGTTGCATTTGATTTTTTTAACAGATAATATTTGCATTCCTGATGGTCATATCATTCTTGCTTTACAATATGTCTGTTAATGTTAAGATTTATTATTAGGTGAATTTTTATACATTAATTTCTTCTTTACAAATTTTGTTCTTGTTATCTCCTGCATATTGTACTTAAATCTTTGGTAGAAAAAAAAATAAAACTGAACTTAGACTTTCTAAACTAAAAGCATAGTTCCCATTCCCCCATTGTATTCATCCAAAAAGTACCAACTACAATTTAACCATCCCACTAGAAAGGCTCTCTGGACCTGATAAACTCCTTGTTAAGTGAAGTATTGGGATTGGCCTCAAGGTCACTTTTGAAATGTAATTTTGATTTCAACAGGAGCAGAGGAGCTGATCAGGGACAAAGAAAAAGCACGGTAACAGCTTACTTGTCTCCTACCAGTATTTCTTCTGCCCCCAGTGGCTGAACAGTTCATCATATTCTAATAAGGGTCATAGGTCACTATATTAGCTCAAAGAAACAGTTTTTCCACATTATATAAAATTAAGAAAACTTATTAAGAAAATTACATCAACTTGACTTTTCTGCAAACCTCTTTGGTGTTCATAGCAGCTTGATCCAAAATCAATAACTTTAACTGAACCTTGGCCTTTGTGGTGTAATAATATGTTCTCCTAAAGACAAAAAAAAAAAAAAATCACAAGGGAAAAAAGGGTTTTAACACCACACTAGATTAGTGAACACTTTGGAAAATAAGCAATGCATAGCACATTGGGTTTACAGCTATCTGCATAATAAAAGCTTCAAAGTACAACTTCCTTGGGAATGCATTTGCTAACATGAGTAGACATCCAATAATGTGCAATTAACCAAAGCAGAGGGTAGATTTGCAAAGGTATCCTGTCTGAAGTTTGCTGGACAGGGACATTAGTGCCTCAGATACAATCCAAGCCACTACAGTGTGCAGTGTGTGGTGCTACCAAGGCACCAGCCAGAGAGAACGCCTGCCGTGCAAGCAGGGTGAATTCCTCAAAACTCATTGCTGTTAATCTAGTAAAAGGCAAACTGCATCTAGTTGCATGCTATGCTAAATTAACCAGAACCATCCTTTTTGTAACCACAGAAAGCCCCTGCCCCATGAACGGGTCATACTTCACAATTCTTCCCTCTGTTGCTTTCAACCTTCTCCAGACTCTCTGTAAGCATACCCCTATCCACCTCACAGTAGTGTGATGCAAAGATCACAAGGCAGTGATAAATGGAAATGGAAGGGCACTATGGATTATTAGCTGGGTGCAGATGAGTACAGCTCTGTGTGCCTACAATTCCAGCCTGAGAAGTGATTCTTAAACAGCTGGCTCAGGAATATTTGCACTGATGAGTAAACATAGCCTATTAGCTCTCTTCTGCAGAGTTCAGTTTTATCCTCATTAAAAATCTATCTAAATCAAGGATTTCCTTTTATTTCCTTTCTGATCATAGAGTCTTCTCCACTTCTCAGCTACCTTTATCAACCAGTTTTAAAGTGATTATACGTCAAAGCTTTGAAGGACTGAGCAGTTCCCAGGTTGATGCCAAATAATGACAAAGTAGTTTCTTGGGTAATTAGTGGACTAATAAGGAAATACTGTGTATGACAGAAGGGAGAAGCTGCTACTGATAAAAGTCAAGGCAAGAAATGACTTCCACTATCCGGATGCTCTTGGTTCTGTTATGGGAAGAATCATCCTCTCTCTGCAGCTAGCTATCCCTTCATGCTCATGGTAGGACTCTGTCTCTATTACTAAATTTCTCACAATGCAAGGGAGCTGATAAACTGCAAAACCAGGTTCTGGGGGCAGTGATTACCTAGCATGAAGTCCAGAGAAACTCTGTACTCTACCTTATGTTGAGAAATATCAAAGGAGGCAGATGGAATAACGAATGTGAGTTTCAGGCAACATAAACTAAATTAACAAAACTGTACAATTGTAGAATGAGAACAAAATTCTCTTTTAGTTAACTCACTAAAAGTTCACTAATATGTTAATCTATTTAAATACAGACTACACTCATTGATCTTGTCAACCTCATTCTTTGTCAGTGGCTGCCTGGAAACAAATTACCCATTGTGTTAATTGTTTCTGATTAAGATATTTTTATTATCTTGCAAGCCTCAGTTCTCACTGCAAATTGATCTGGCAAAGATGTTGGCAAGACAATGGGTACAGACAGTATATGCCTCTTCAGACTTCAATATAGATTATTATTATTATAGATTAAGCAAAGTCCTTAGCATTTTTATTTGAAAGCTGATTTATTTATTTATTTATTGGTTAATTTGCAGTTTTGAAAATGAAATTAAGAGAAATGGTCACCTGAAATGAAAACAGAATCAAAATACTTTAGAAATCTCAGAAATTGCAAAAAATTAAGATTGGAGATAAGGAGAATGGAAATGTTTCACCCAGCATGAATGCTTAGCAGATTCAGCAGCAAGAACTGGATCACAGGTGTTCCTCCAGAAACAGGTGAGCACCCTAAATACTGCATGATAGAATCGCTTTATCATTTACTAGATGAGTTAATTTTATAGTTACACATATGAAATTAAATAGACTTAACAGGATAACCAGAAACAGGCTGCCTTGTGAATATCTCCTTGCACTGTAATGCCCCTCATATTGAAATACTTGATTTCACAAGTACTTTGTTCTTTCTCTAAGCAAAAATTCATTACCTGCATTTGATTCATATGTGCATACATTTTGGCAACTAGAAAATCACTTACAATATTGCAGTGAATTAACTGACTCAATGGAAAGACTCACTCAACTGGTACTAATACAGTCTGAAATAAACTATAGCTTCTGTACAAATACCCTGCTGGCTTTTAAGGATTCTTTGAGAGTTCCTCTTGATCAATAAAAAATAGGATGAAGCTAATGTATTCTGTACAGAATAACAGGTTATGAAATGACTGTACTTACAGGCTTCAGATCACAGTGAATGATTCTTTCCTGGTAGAGCACTTGTAAACATCTCAGCACACACTGAGTGAAGTGTCGAATTAAAGACAAACTGAAACCTTGGAAATTGTTCTTTTTGATCAACTCATACAAATTTATTCTGTGGGGGTTAAGGGGGTGAAAGAAGAAGACAGAAAGCAGAAAAGAGATTAGTGAACTTATTTTTAAAGTATGACTGATTTACAGTGCATTAAGAGAGTATTTAGCCTGTCTTCCTACATGAGGGAGGACTCAAGGCAGAAGAAGATGACTTTTAGCTATTTTCCTCCTTGAGAATGCTGTTCTGCATGTAATACATACAAACATCTCCCTGAGCCTCCAGATCTAACGAAGACATAATGTCAGTGGACTCGCTTGCCTACTAAACTCAGTGCTATGTTATGCTGCTGTGTTGATTTTCACCAACTAAAATTCAGGAACTGAGAGAAATAAATTTACCTCAGTCTCCTTTTGCTCTCGTTTGTCTTTGCTTTGGTACCTTGTGTAAATCCTTTTCGTCTAAAGAGTCTTTATTCTGCAGTAAATCTTTCTAGATAAATAACCCCATAAATTCATGTCTTGTTAGGTTTTAATATCTCTCCTGTAACCATCATATCTTAGCTCCTTCCAGCAGGGCATTAAATGATGTTGATAACTTCTGCCAAGCGTGTCTGGCAACGTGTGAACACTGCCCTAAGACTCCAAGGGCACCACCCGCCACCACTGCCCTGCTATGTAGCCGGGAGTTCCCCCCACCTGCCCACAGCCCAGGACCCCATGTCAGTGCCGCTGGGCCAGCAGCCCCTGCCCCGGTGACACCGCAGCAGAGCCAGTCTCTTTGGGCCTCACCAAGCCAGCCCACATGTGGGCCTGTGTCCTGGCCCAGCCTCAGCCTGTCCCTGTCCCCGGGGAGGTGCCTGATGCCCAGGGCTGGGGATGCCCCCCGGCTGCCCTGCTCCTGGCTGCCAGGCCAGGATGGACTCGAGCCCCCCCAGCTCTTGGTGGCACAGCCACAGGGAGCCCCCAGTGCGGGCTGTGCACAGGCAAGTACTGAGTGGTGATCATGCGGTCATTGGAGGAGGAAATGGCCACAGGGATGGTGGCTATTGAAGGGATGCACAAGCATGTCCTTAGAAATATGGTCTCAAGAAGTGTCCTCAGCAGGAGCCCAGGGATCTGCAATGACATAAACAACTGTAGCTTTCTGCCTTCCTGCTTGTGCATCCCCTGGTGTCAGGCAAGGCCCGTTCCTTCAGAAGGAAATGAAGTTACCAGGACTTGATGGAGAAAAAAGTTCACAAATTTAGGGGTTTCATTATATTTTAGAAGCAATAAGAATTTCACTAGACAAATATTTTTATGTGACTACCAGTCTTCAACTCTTCTGTAAAGAGCCGGACACAGCGGCTATCCTATGAATGCTTTCTTAGAAGTTTCCATAGCAGCTTTCTGAAAAAAACTAGTCCCTTCCCTGGAGTCAACTCTTATCCCTGTGTGTCTGAGTGGCAGGCTTGCATGCAGCAATACTATGAATTTAGGTCTGTTTGAGATCAAGCCTTCCATACGATGATGAATCTTCAGCAAGGGCTATAACATGTGCAGCAATGTCGACTTGACTTTAAGGGATGGGGAACCACGGATAACCTCTGTAATGCCCTGATTACAAGGAGGCTGATGAATAAAATGATCTGATTTCCCTAAGATTTCTTCCAAATTCCTCCTAAGATGCGTCCTGCAGCATAAATTCATAGAAACCAAGAAACAGCTATACTTTTTACTTATTTAATATTATTCATATTTATATACTCTACAGTTTACCAGTCATGGATTCATTGTTTTACTCTTTTCCCCTTAGGTCTTTCAGGGAAGAAGACTTCAATACACAGCACAGAAAATAAGGGATGGATGCAATTGTCTGTGTGAAGTCTGAAGAGGGCCTTTTTCAGTTCACCTTTGGTGATCAAAGACTCAGTTATGCAGTCTGTACTTAAACAGTATTTCTTTCTTGTAACATTAAGAGAAGCAAATTCTTCCAAAGAAGGCATAAAAATTAAAGATTGTAAGGCACAAGATCTACAATGTTTCTTAAGTTTTATGTAAAGAAAAGCACACTTTACCCCAGCAGTTCAAAGGAAATACAGAAGTGATTGCGAAAGTAGAAGTATTCCTTCATGTGGATGATATTGTGTGTATCATCTTTGTCCTTCTTCAGGAGAGCATCAAGGATCTTCACTTCTACCAAAGCCTGGCTGTGAAATCTGAAATATCACAGGACATGGGAATGGCAAAACTAACTCAGTCTAGCATTTGTAGTAATACAATTGTTACAAACACCACAATCTTACTACAAACTCCACATGTGGGGCAATGATTAAAAATTCACCATTCAGCCCTGTTAACTACTGCAACTTTGATTAATTATGGTTGTTGCCTAGTCTAAATATACTGGCTTTATATAGCATTTAAGAGTAGTTATTTTGACTTGTCTGAAAAAAATATTTAAATGAAAAACAGTCTCAAATGAGCATCCAGAGTAAAAGCCTAGTGCTTTCAAAATTCACAGGAATGCTTCCATTTATGTGAACAGGGCCATATTTCACACCTACCACAATAAGTCAGTTTGGAAGAGCATCTTTACATCTAGTGTTCGCTGAAGGCGAAAGCTGAAGAGCTAAAACTCTGTGGCTGGAGTCAACAGCATCATTCTCATCTGCTTCATTGACTCTGATTCAAGCTAAACTCAACTAAAAAGTTGTAACCGGTCTCGTAACAAGAAGAGGTTGCTTAGGATCATGGTGTAGACTTTTTCATGTTAAAATGAGCAACTAGAGCCTCCCAGCACATTCTTGTAGTTTTGAGTCTTGGAGGGGAATCTAGGCTCTCAGTTCTCTGTCATGCAGGGCTGGTTACCTGTGCTGTGTATTGTCACAGAGATCTCCTTGTAAGTCTGGAAAAACTGTGCCTGCTTTCATAGACCGTGTCTCCACTGGGTCCAGGCCAATTCGGAGTCCCTGAAATCACCTTTCTTCACTCTGTTCTCACTGTGTTTAATGAAAGTCTGATGTGCAGGGGGTTTGATTTTGCTTTGTTCACATTATCCCAGATTGTCACTGCCTATATAACAAAGAGCTGATTGTACTGATTTAAAGTCAACAGATGGCTCACCTTTTCTTATTCCTTATTATTTTCAATGCCACTAATTCATTGGTTTTATGATCTAAGCATTTAGCCACCTGCCCAAATGATCCTTTCCCAATCACCTCCAACACTTCATATCGGTATGCAATATGGTCATGTAAAACCTTCAAAAGAAAACAAATTGTTCAGATTCAGATAGTACAACAAAGGTCAGGCTTTAAAGTAGTTCGTGTGTGTTGTGTTTACTGTCTATGAAGATGCTGGAATGGTAGCAAGTGAAGTCTACATTAAACAAGGGTGACAGAGAAAAAAATGACAAGTGCATGCTTCATTAATCCACCTACTTTGCATCAGTCCTGAATGAGATGCAAAGTGGGTCTCTCTTCAGGATTCTCTTCTGAGCATTAAAGTGATTGGTACTGATGTTTTCACTATGTGAATATTTATCTTCTAGAAACAACATTTATCTCACAGAGATCACTTAACAGTTGCCAGAAAGTCACTACAAACTTACTGAGCTGAAAATCAATAGCATAATTTTTCCACTTACCTTTAAGTAGGAACCATGCTCATCATCATAGCAATTATTATTCTGGGTTTCAGAAAAACCTTCAATCTTTTTAGCTTCCAGCCCAAGAAACCATAGCTCTGCATAATTGAAAATTTCTTTTTGCTCATAGACTGTTAACTGGTTTCTAAATTTTTTCAAGGCTTCTAAATCAGAAAAGAAAATATAAAACCCAAAATCAATAAAATGTCAAAAATCTGATGGCAAATTGCTTTTACAATCGAACATTTGACTGTAGAGTATGCCACTTTGAGGAGCAGGCTGAGTAGCTGTTACAGGTCCCTTCCAAGCAACATTTCTATGATTCTACAATGTTGACATTTTGCGCAAATTTTTCTTTTTTTGATTTACAATTTCATGTTCAACAAAGCATTCATCATCTTGCAGCAAGACTTTTAAGAGAGCTTAGGTAAAAATTATTTGATTCTGAGCAAAGTTATGTACCTAGGCGCTTTTGAAAATCCCATCTGATTCAGAAAACTTCATAGCTTACATAAAAAAATGCTAAGTTTTTATTGGTTTGATTGTGATATTTATAAATTGTCAGTAAGCTTTGGTTAACCAAAGCTTTCAAGTACTTTTTTTCTGATAGAAAATGTCAAGTTCAGATGCATGAGGTTAGGAATTAAATGCAACCCAAATCTGCGTTTCTCCTGGTTCTGATTCTTCCTGCATTGAAACATTTCAGCTGCCCTAACACCTCCACTTACAAAATTTCAATCTAGGTAAATAATCAGATGAAACCGTTACAAAGCAACATGTTCCCTAGGCATGCATGTTGGGGTTTTGTTAAGCGGTGGTAGATATTCATCCACTAATGCAAGGATGTTAAATAATTTGAAAGCAAAGGGCCACTTCTTTTTTTCTCCTAGACTCCTTCTAAAAATAGATTAACACTGCCAGAAACTTTCTCGATCTGAGAACTCCCAAAATGCAATTTATCTGACATAGATAAAATGTGACACAGCTACAAGCAAGTGTTTTATCACTATAATAAAACATTGCTACGTGACCTGTCATAACCGTTAGACAAACATACATTCTTTCGTGTAATGCATACTTCTATCACTTATATATTTGTGTCAGTCTATTCTTTCTCCTATTGCGTACATCCCCAAGTCGGATTTTTAGAAATGACTGAGCTCATCCATATTCCTTTCCTCCAACTTTTTGTTAAATATTTCAGTGACCATTTAGTGTGAAACCTCTGGTCACTGAGTATCCTGACTGCATACACTCCGTATGTGTGCAGGGAGCCTGTCACTCCAGTCTTTTTAGCATTTTCTGTTACATTCTACCTGAAGCTGTCATAGGCAGTTTGACACTGATGCTGGTGCTTTCCAGTTCTGATGGTTTTGTCTGGGCTCTGGTATCACTTTCAAGAAGACTGTCTGGAATGTTAAATTGAGAAAAATTTCCTCGAGTTCTGTTTCCCTGACAAGCAAAAAAAAAAAAAAAGGTAATATTTGTTCTCTGATATTTTCATGAACATTCAGCTAATCTGCAATTACATAAATTTATACAAAAATATATTTTAAAATGCTACAGTCCCAAAGACAAAGTTGTAAGATATTTATTTTGGATTATGCTGAGTGATGTCTACGTCAATTTTGTGCTGAGACAGAACAAGCATGCTCGGGGACGAGAACGCCCTACTTACCAAGAAAGTAAATTCTGCCAATAGCACTAGGGGCTATTGGACCATGGAAAAATAGATCTCTAAATAAGAGAAGGAGGTTCATCTTCCAAGTTCATTCAACACATGGGCTTTCACTTTCTTTAGATGCTACAAACTGCTATGGTTTGATTAAGTTGCAGTAACTTGCACGAGCCAGTACAAAGGGCAGAAAAGATAGTATAATAAGCGTTATACATCTTGGATTTCTGTGTGGGCACGTCCATTGGAAAGTCGTGCTAGAATCCTTGAGATTGCTTGTGCAGCCCACAGAACTGCAGGGACACCAGCTTGGGTCTGCACACACACACATTGGTAACAGAAACATCAAGACTGGTATGAATGGAGAATGAACGGGCCTATGTGGGTGTGGAAGCACTAGAAGGAAGAAATTGCACAAGAAAGGATATACAGATGTTACCTATATCAGCAGGTGATCAACATCCCAGCACATGCAGGTTCTCAGGGCTCCCAGAATGGGAAAACAAAGGACACGCTACAGAATCAAGCCATGAAGAGATGATGGAGCATTGGAGCAGATAAAAGACCACCAAATAAGGAGACAGAAGACAGTGTGCTCTGGGATAAGGATGCAGGGTGTGGGGGCCCATGCCACGTTCTCCTAAAACCCTTAATGGAGGGGAAAAAGACCCATCTGGAGATGATACATCCAGTGGACCAATACCTGGCTGAAGCTACAGAGAAGACTATGGCTTCTACAAACATAGGATGAGGAACAAGAACTGCTGAGCAGAAACAGAATCCATCTGATGAGGCAGGGCAAGAGTGTCTGCAAAAAGCTTTGCTAACCTAGTGAAGAGGGCTTTTAATTTGGTACAACAGGGAATAGTCATCATATCCTAAAGACCCTGATACTCTTGGGGTAATTCAGTCACCTCAGTATCTGCTGAAGTGGCAAAAGCATTTTGGGAGATTTCTGTACTCTGACTTAATCCAGGTGATCTGAGATGCGCTGCTGGACCTGTTACTCATACACAAGGAACAAATAGTTGAGGATGTGAAGGTCAAGGGAAAGGCAGCTTTGGCTGCAGTCACCATGTGACTGTGAAGTTCAAAATCCTCAGAGAAGTGAGACAAGCAGAAGAATCACAAACTCTGGTCTTCAAGAAAACACATTTGGCTTATTCAGAGATCTTCTCATCATAACCTCATGGAAGAGTGCCCTGGAGGGCAAAGGAAATCAAGAGAGCTCATTGATCTTCAAAGTAAATCTCCTTAAAGCACAAGAATAGTCCATTCTAACATGCAGAAAACTGAGCAAACATTGCTGAAGGCTAGTATGGTCGAAAAGGGAACTTCTGACCAGGAGCAAACACAGTAAGGAATGCAAAAAAAGTAGAGCACGGATGGGTTATCTGGGATACACGCTAATCTAGTGAAGAGGGGTTTTAAGAGACCCTACCTGAACATGCAGGCACGTTTAGGAAAGCCAAAGCTGAGCTGCAGTTGCAGCTAGCAAGAGATGTGAAAGTCAGCAAAAACAGTTTCTATACATACATCACCAGCAAAAAAGGAAGGCTAAGGGAAATGTGAACCCACTGCCCAGTGGAATTTGGGACCTAGTGACCAAAGATTTGAAAAAGACGAGGGCACTCAATGCTTTTCATTGGTATATTTTACCCCCAGTCCTCCCAAGTCCCTGAGTCTAGAAGCAGTGTTTGTGTAAAGAAGTGTTACATGCAGTAAAGGAAGACAGTTAGGGACCAGTTAAGTAACTAGACATACCTAAGTCTTCAGGACCAGGTGGGATGTCATTGACCGATGATGTCAATGACCAATGTCATTGCAAGGCAGCTCGTTATCATCTTTGAAGGTCGATGGCAATCAGGAGCAGTTCCTGACCATTTTGAAAAGGCAAACATCACAACTACCTTCAAAAAGGGCAAGAAGGCAACTTCAAGGGAACTACAGGCTGGCCAGCATTACCTTAGTCCCTGGGAGGGCTATGTAACAATTCCTCTTGGAAATAATTTCCAACCAAATGAAAGATAAGAAGTTGATTTGGAACAGCCAGTATGGATTTGCCAACATAAGTTGTGAACAAATGGTGTCTGAGCAACTTGATTGCCTTACCTGATGAAGTGATTGGGTTGGCCAATGAGAGAAAAGCCATGGGCATTGCATAGTTTGACTTCAGCAGGGTCTGTGACACTGTCTCCCACTGTATGCTTGAAGCCCAAAGAGTGAGATATGAAGCAGACAAATGGATGTGGAAATGCAATAATGAGTAATAATACTGTGAGTGGAAAATCGTCTGGATGGTCAGGTTACAAGGACTGTGATCAGTGGCAATTTGTTACTAGTGACATTCCTCAGGGATCAATACTGAGGCCAGTACAGCTTAGAGTCTTTATTAATGACCTGGACAATGCATGAGTTCACCTTCTCAAATCTGCAGACCATAGCAAGGCTGCTATCCGAAGGGACTTAAGCAGGCTGGAAAAATGGGCTATGGGTATCTCCTAAAGCTGTGCGAAAGACAAATGGTAAGCCATGCACTTGGAACAAAATATACCCATGCAACCGGACAGGGTGGCGGACAACTGAAAGGATGCAGCTTTGTGGGGAAGGCCTGACAACCACTTGGATATGAGGTAGCAATGTGCCCTTGCAGCAAAGACGGCCAAACACATACTGGGCTATATTAGCAAGAGGATAGACAGCAGAGTGGGAGAAGTGATCTCCCCCTCTGTTCAGCATTTGTGAGGCCGCTCTGGGATTACTGTATTTAGTCTGGGGTTTCCCAGTGTAAGAAAGACATTAACCAAGTGGAGCAAATTCAGGGGTGAGGTCAGAGGATAGTCAGGAGCCTAGAGCACATGATGTACAAGGAGAGGCCGCAGAAATATGTTTGTTTAGCCTGCAGAAGAAGAAGCTTCAGGAGTGATCTTTTTGCTGTCTACAGTTACTTGACAGGATGGTACAGAAAAAGCAAAGCCAGACTCTTCTCAGAGGTGCATGGTCCTAGGATGTCCTAGGGTATGTGGCTAATGGACACAAGTTGCAACACAGGAAATGCTGGTTAGGTATTAGGAGAAACATTTTTTATCATGTGAGTGGTTCACTATTGCAACAAGTTGCCCTGAGAAGCTGTGGACTCTACAAACTTTGAGATATTCAGAACCTAGCTGGACAATGCCCTGAGCAACCTGCTCCAAGTTTGCTCTGCTTGTAGTGGGAGGTTGGACTAGATGTCTTCCAGAGGTCCTTTCCAACCTAAATGATTCCTTAATTTATTTATAATTTCTTATCATTTCAGAAAGTTCTGGTGACTCACAGAAGTTTGACCAAATGGAGACACAACAGATCAATCTCAGTGTCAGAAGGGTACAAAAGCCATACTCAATAACCAGCATATGGTTGCCAAGACAAGAAAGAACCCAGGTGATGTGATATGGACTAACCAGTGGGTAATCCCAGTCTGCCATGTCCTTGCAAGAAGTCCTGGCTGGTACCACTTGGATACATCCATCTTGGTGCTTGTGAGTTTTGGGTTAAGAATGCATTAGTGCAAGTGAAAACAGGTTTATTTTACAATTAAATCATCTTTCCATACTTGCATCTAACCTCGATGGTTGTTTTTGGGGGTTTTTTTGGTTTTTTTTTTCAATATTAACTGCTACAAAAGCAGGGCAGCCAAGTGTGAGGGGCACCACTTGAGCAGCTCAAGCACAAGTCTGTGCTGACACAAGTCAGTCCTACCGCTATCCTGCTGAGTCTCAGCTTGAGAACTCTACTCAACTCCCATTCCAATACACACTCCCTCAATTTAGCAATGCTGTTATTTCTAAAGAAGGGTAAACAAAAAAGGTCTCTGAAAAAGGCAGCACACAACCATGCTATCTAGACTGAAATGTTTATTGTCCCCTGGCATTCCTAAGCCAAGCAAAGGCTTTCTTATTGGTGTTTACACAGCTTCTTACAGAAGTCTACAAATTACATTTAAAGAATAAAAACCCCTTCGTAAAACACTTGGCTTCAACCTTTTCACAAAAAATAAAATGGGAGGATGGTTCATTTTCAGATGCAAAGCTTAATCATTGGCTTTTGTAGGACTTGAGTGCAGGTTTGACTTATGAAGGCCATAGAATTAAGGTTTAAAGAAAATTTTAATTATTTTGGAGACTAAGCCATTCCACCTCATTATTCATGCTATTTCGCATCTTCTAGCTTCGCCCAATGATACACAACCTCCTAACCAAATCAAATCATTTGTAGCAGTAGCAAGCTGCCAATTTTAAAGTCAAAGTATTTAAGAAGACTCGTGACTTCCCAAACAAAATGCATTATGTGGGGACTTCCAGTGCAACAGATCTGAAAAGACTTCATATTGGAGCCCTATGGAACTTGCAAGTGTCTCGATGAAGAGACTCCACTGAAGGAGAAGAAAGGTGAAAAAAGGAGTGATCAGACTAATGGTGGGGAGTAGTGCAGGTCCCTCATTTGCTGGGGAGAGAAGGAGCAAAGGAAGAAGAGTTCAGACAGAGGATAGACATAGGATTTGTGAAAAAAAAAAAGAGAAAAAAGGAACATCAAAAGTGCAGATTACTTCAAAAACTTCCTGTGATGTTGGGTGTCCATTAAAATATCTGAAGATAGACACAACCGTGCTGGTAAGCAATTTATCTATTTGCCTGTTTATAGTTCTTCCTTTTTGTTTTTTTTTAATTTTTAGCAATGGCTGAAAACAGAAACTGATGCAAATGCTGACACCAAATTACTTCTCTCTTCCCACACACAAACACACTCGTGACACTGCCACTGACACTCTCTTGGCAGTACTAGAGAGAAGACGATTAACCCGTCAAACACAAGATGTCCAAGAGCTTTCTATGTCTAAGAGCTTTATAGGTCTAAGAGCTTTTTTCACTCACCTGAAGAGAGGGGAGGACATTCTGCAAGCTCTTATTTGTTATCTGAGGCGGGCTGCTTTCAAGGGGGGGAGGCTTTGCAGTGTCCGCAACCAAACCATGCTTTGCTTGATCTTCCAGATGTGGGAGGGAAAGAACACCGCGACTGACTTTCTAAATAGAAAGCATAAGTAAACATTACATAATGACCTAGCATGCAACTCTGTGTAACACCTTCGAAAAACAGAGAGATTTAAAATTTTGGAAAATGTGTATGGTTCACTTCTGACACCTAATGGCGAAGGGGAAAAGAGCAGATACTCTCTGGCAGCTCCCAGTTCTGTTAATGGGCCAGGAGGAGGTTGTCCAGGCAATTGGGCAACCTAGCACGCTTAAGGGCATGAAGGTTTGTTTCCCCACAGGAGCATCTCCATCCAGCGTCAGAGCAGTGACTGCTTCAGCTGGAAATGGTGGTTGGGCTTGGAAGCTGAACAGCCTTTCCAGGAAGCGGACTCCTTTGAGTTGGGAAAATAAAGCGTATGCAGCGTAATAAGCAGACATGAAGAGTAACTGGCAGGCAACAGCATTAGCTATTCCCAGTGGTAGAAGAGAAACTGGGATTGGACTGCTGCCAGACACCAGGGTAGAGACAGTGGGGGGGATCTTCCCTGCACTGGTTTATCAATATTTTCTTCCCCCTCATTCCCCGTGGCATTCACTTTGATTAGGCCCCTTTGTTGCACCCCTCGTTAGTGAGGAAAAGGCAAGCTCTGTGCAAACTTTACTGAAAAAATAAATCCTTATACTCATTTAAAAACTCCAGGATTATTAGTCCTTCCTTCAGACCTCTCCCATTTGTTATTTGCAAAACATTTGCATACTGCTCATTCTTTCAAGTCAGTCATTTAAGGATGAGGTTTCATGAATGTTAGGACTGCTAATACTCTTGGATATCCAAAGCAAGAGAAAACACACATATCAGCAAAGAAAATTTTCAAGGTAGACTATTTCTTTGGCAAATAATAAAAAAAAAATATTTAAAATAGATTTGAAATAGATCAGCTATGCACTATCAAATGCAGAACAAGATTGAGAGAGTTAATGCTACAACCCACATAAGGCTGTGAATTTTTTGTCATCAGGGGAGTATAGAAAAATATTTGTCAAGCTTTTGACAACAAAAAAGAGGTTTGATTTCTTTTCAAAAAAGCAAAGAAACTAAGCTCTCAATCCAACCAACTTGATTGAATAAGGCTTTTTTTCCAATACTATGGAAAAGTCTTTGAAACCTTAAAACTGAGATTCTGGTGGACTTTTCATGAAAGCTTCAAAAAACAAAAGTGGCTAGGCAGAAGAAATGCCTCAAATTCTACTGAACAGCTACCCAAAACAAAATACTCACAGGCTCTTGGGACAGTCATACAGCTACAGGGGAAATGGAAGAGTGCAGGGAATAAAGGACGTCCCTCTGCTCAGATTCATTTATTATAACGGGTCTCTTAGAAAACAAGCATTCAGATATCTTTAAAGCCAGCTGAAGAATCACGTACCTGATGGAAGATTCTGTTAGGTCCGAGATTATTTGTCTCTTGAACAGTCAGTTGAGACTGAGCAAATGCATCCACATGGGAAGACTGCAAGGATGAATTATGTTTTAATAAAAATTATTCTGGAAAAAATATTTAAATCTTTGTGTGGTTTCTGTGTTTCTTTCCTTCGTGACAATGCCTGTGCCAACACAGTGTATGAGAGAAGACCACAAAAGCTGCTGACAATGCTCTACGCTTTAGCAATTCCTCTCCCAGTCAAACAGCTGTTTTGTGGGCAGGTGCGGAGACAGCTTGCTTTGCCTATTATGCCTCTCAGCATGCTCGATATGCCTATGTGGTCAGCGGAGTGGAAGGAGGGGCCTTTGCCATCCCTAAAGATGTGCTTGAAAGCAGATAGTCTGCTTGGAAGGACAGCTCTAAACTGCCTCACAAGGTAGATTGTGAGCCCATCTATTGTTAATAGAGCATTAAACTGATTCAGCTTGTGGTACTGATTTCATAAAAACACAAATAATTTTAAATTTACTGAGATATAGAAAAAAATCCATTGGTTCCAATGGAGAGATAATACTAGCTACAGATAAAAAAAAATAAATACCAGGAGAGTGCTAAGCAGCTCATCATGTTTTAAGAGTCTACAAGTGCTTTCAGCATTTTTTTTTAAAGATGGACATGGTAAGTAGCATTGTACATTTCTGTCCAATAACAGATTGTAGTGAATTGCAGAAATCTTTACAATAATTTAGATACTGAAAACTCTGTTGGTACATCAGTTTGGAGGTCTGATCTCTAGGCTGGAGTGAACCCTACTGGGTTTGGTTAAGTGTGCTCCCTTGTCCTTGGGCTCTGAGGCACAATGTCATTCTACTCATAGTCAAAAAAAAATTATCTTTAACCAATTAAACACAGAAATTCCACAATAGGAGTTCTGAAGTGGTAGAACAGCAATATTTTCTCTACAAGTAGAGGAACTTGGAGGTGTGAGTGAGGAACTTTAATTTAGAGTTTCAAAATAATAGATTTGCAGCCAAAATTATCTTATGAATGTGAGCTGCAAATGAAAAATACTTACATAAAGCAGCAAGGTATTCTTATTTATCTGCTTTGCAGCCAGGGCTTCCAAGACCTGTACTTGTCACACATTCTTAAGTGGGAATCTGAGGTTGATAAATTCATTGCTCTTGAAAATTACTTTTAGCCTGTCCACTGCCATTATGAGTGACAGGGGATCACTTATTAAAGGCCTTTGTCATGGACTTCAGTTAGTCCATGTGAAAATATGTCTGCATACTGGAAGAGTGTGCTTAATGTGTTTTGTACTGGCTAGTGCCACAAAACATGTGCCATGATGCAGCCTAGCCATGCTGAAAGGGCCTCTGTCTCAGCCTGGAAGAAAAAAGGGACAACTCAGGTGAGACTGTTGCATCTGTGCCAATACATCGCACATACATATAGGAGCTGTAGTGAGTGAGGGATGCATGTGTAAAAACTGATCCATGCACATACAGTGACCTCAGTATATCGAGGGCACATCAGCATTGCCACAAAGGTGCATATCAAGCTGAAGATACATGTAGAATGGCTCTGACACATCCTGCTCTGTAAGTATGGGACAGGTGTTCAGAGAGCCTGTGGGATCTCCATCCTTGGTGATGCCATTAGGTTGGAGATCTCTAGAAGACACTTCCAAACTAAATATGAAAAGTAAACTTTTACAAATCTACCTGGTCACAAGAAAGAAATGCTGCCCTCTGACATGTAGGTTCAACTTGTCTCACTGTCAACCACGAAGAGCTGGGCAAAAGTTGTCAACCACAAAAGCTGAGCAGACCAGCTTAGAAACTGCCCTTTGGACAACTGTGCTGTTAATGCTCATGGCAGGTATTTCCTCTTTCTTTTCATTTGAAAAGTCATGGGAGAAAAACCCCCACAAATAAATAAGTTATTCTGCAAGCTTAAAGGGTAAACTACAGATTCAGAACAAGCTGAGAACAACATCTCTGGCTTTAGCCTTATTATGCTAATTGGGGACAGTCTGAGAGGAAAGGTCATTGATATCTGTGGAGCAGAGGAGATTAGGAAATGGAAGACCTGTTTTTGCAGGGTGTAATTATTCCCCTCTTTGGAACTGGAGGTCAGCTAGCCAGGGGTAAGGGATTATGTGCTGTAAATCCAGAACACCCCCAGAAGAGAACCACTGGATTATTGTATCCTACATATTAATGTCCCAGAGCATTATATATTTTGTCCCGTGCACCCAACATCCTTGTGATCACGACCCTTCAGCGTGAATCTGCATAGATGTTCTATGGACAGCCCAGTGCCAGACTAGTTTTATGGACAAACACTTCACATGCAAACTATGTATGATTTCAAGGGACAATCGCATCTGTTATGAAGATGAGTCTGGGATCCACATTCATAACGGTACTAGATATATCAACCCAGGTCTTAATAAGACTATAAATTTTAGTGCATTTATTGCGTTACTTTTTCCCACACCTCATCCATACTTACTCTCAGCTAGCTTTATTTTTCAGTTTCTGGAGCTGATGAAAACATCATACTCCATGCAGAGACAGTTCCTTAGCCACTTTGTGCTTTTCTAACTACAGGTCAATAGAAAGCCAGGATTATAGAGAGAAACAGCTATCACTGAAAGCCAAAGAAACATTGGACTTTACATAACTGTACAGACTGCAGAGTCTTCACTCCAAAATGGCAATTTATTTCTTAGTAATACTTTTAAAGGCTATGCAGTGATGTCTATATTATTAAATATAAAGTTCAAAATATATTATATTTACTAATAGAACATGAATAATTCAAAAAATGTCTTTAAAATTCAGCAAGAACTAAGGAAGGAGGTGAGTGAGCACCAAAACATGCTGCCAGAATTCAAAATACATCTAATTTCCATTCACTGGGGAAAGATTGGCAAGATTTCGAGATGGACATTTCCCCTTTTACACTGCAAAAGCAAAATCAGTCCATCAGCCCATGGTTGTGCCTTTTTTTAAAACATGGAAATTTGTAATTCTCTTGGTGTCTCTTTATCAAAACCTACCTATTAAGGGTTTGTAGTTCTTCAGCACTCTTTGGGCAATTTATTCAAAACACTTTAAAATCAATAACTGATCATAACATTCCCCCAAATAAGTAAATAGCATAAACTTTTACCAGTGGAAAAAATTATCTGTGCTACAACAGTCCTGCCAGTGGCTGAATGGGGAGCAGATGGATGGATCAGTTAGTTCACACAGTAGCTTATTTGATGGTCTTGATCAGCTGCTGCTCTAGCAAAATCCTATATATCTAGTATGGGCTCTATAGCTGAGCTGTTATAGCTGGTTTAATTCTAGCAGATGTAATTTTTAAAGAAAAATTGGAGCACCTGTTACTATTTCACTCTATTTCACTCTTGGCTGCCCTACTCCTATAGCACTCGGCCTGTCCTACAACTCCAATATTGCACTTCAGTCCCAAACTATCATCTCTTGCTGTTCCTGCCCTTCAAATCATGTATTACTGGCCATTACCTTGCTAATTCCAATTATCACTCAAGAAACAGAACAACGTCCTCATTCACTATCTAGTCTGCAGTCCTACGGAGTTTCAGGTACTGAGCCCACAGCATTCTGCAAAAACAGAAATTGTGACACACTTTCATAATTCACAAAATGTCAGCTTATTTTTTTCGCTATCTAGTTGACCATAGAAAACAGAAATGTATCAGAATTTTAGAAATTACAAAATACACAAAGATATAAAATATAGACTCCATAGTCTCATTTAAATGGGCACTTTCTCCTCTTTGTCCTCTATCAAAACTGAATAAAGCATGTAGAATACATAGAGAGAATGCAATATAAGTGTTAAAATCATGCAATATATTAAAAAGTCATAGCAAATGCAGTCTCACTCACTCAAAATACAGTAGGAACATAACCATTTTCCCCACCTTGTCAACTATTTCTGTCAGCATAACCGCAAGAGCCGTCAACTGCAGGATAGAGGTTGTTTATTCCATTCGGCGAATGCATTTCAGGAAGCCCACCTTCATCTAGTCAGAGCATAGCAGCATCAGTTTCATACAGAGTACCCTGATCAGAAAGAAATGGATAACCCTTCTGCTTGGTTTCAGATTTAAATTTTTTATCCCAGAAGTATGCCAGTGACTATTAGCTGCTCTAGTATACTTTTGGTGGCCATCTGTTCCTTTTCTCAGCCTCCTTCTAGCCAAATATAATTTTCCATATTTATCATGGCAAGTCAGGAATAAGAAAGACAAATATAACAGGATTGGCTGTTCTCCTTGGCGTCTCAGTCTGTTCTTTCTCACTAAGCTCATGTGCTTGTGAAACCAAAAAGCACTTGAACATGTATTTTTTCAAAAATTTGTCACAGTGAACTTGTTATACAGGGAGTAAAATCTATTTACCAAGACTGACAGTCTGGAAAATGAATATAAATTAATACCTGAAGGGTTGATTTCTCATTGGACATTATGTGTCATTTACTGAGGACCAAACTGTGGCACCTTGGTCTATGGTTCTTGTTGCCATCAGTGCAGAGCTGCTCTGCCCTGTGAGATGGTGAGGCTCTCATTTTGGTGTGGATAGTGAGACTGAGCTTAGCTGCTGTCTTGTCTTCCCTTTTCTTCTTTTGGGTGTTGTGCATGTGTTGGAGCACTGATGGCACCATCTTAGGGGAATATCTAAAACCAAAGATACAGTGTGCTCTCCTCCTGCATACAGCCAAGGAATGGCATGTTCCCTGCTGGTCTTAAATCTGCTGACAACCCAGAATGGTTCTGTTTTCACTCAGAAACCAGGGTTTTCAAAGAAGAAATACATGCTCAGCCACAGAAGCTATTCTAGAAGGCTGCCACTTTTACTGATGCTCCTGGAATGAGCACCACTTTTCACAGTGTGGTCAAAGCAAAAACAGCTATTCTTCTGTATTCATGGTGGTCCTAGCAATGCCCTTTCCTAGTATAATTGCTGAAGTGCACCATCCTAAAAGGCACATCACTCCCATTTCTATCACTCTCACTTCTCCATTCTTCCAAGCTTGGCAACTCTCTGGTCAACAAATCCCCCACAGCGTTACACCTCACATACAAGATAAACCTCTCAGTCTCTAGCCAAATAACTGCACAGACTGTCATGCCAGCATGGCAGGTTCAGCCCTGGAAACACATGGAGATGCTGTGTGCTGGAATACAAATTAAACAGCACAAACATGCATCAAGTGTATTTAAGTTCAATCACTCCCACACAAACAGGCATGTGCGAGCACGTACAGCTAGTTACGCTCCAGCTCTCATATCCCAGAGGTATATCAAGCATTTCTGAGCAATTTTCACCAAGGTTCACAAGAAGGGATTTAACTCATGTAGTATATGGCATTTATTCGAATGGTGAAAATATAGATTTGTGATACTGGAAGTTATCAGTGCAGTCTACAGTTGATACCACGTTTACGTACTACGTAGATGGGGAAGCAGCGTGATCACTACTGGCACTTGCCTGTAGCACTCAGTGGGGTTCTTTCCACCAGCTGTGCTGTGAGGTGGGGTACGTGTCAGAAAGCTGCACACTGTATTCCCTCTGGCTTGTTGTAGCCCAGCCATTCTTTTAATTAAAAGATTTACAATACAGCTTTACGTAGCCCCACAACCCTCAGGGCCATACCTTTCCATCCCATGTTTTGAATCTTGTTGAGAAACTATTCACCTTCCCAGGATGCCTACAAAGACAGGAGCGAAGAACAGATTTGACCATGCATTCAACCGTCCCCCATTAAGAAGAATATCCTCTACTTTATTTAATTTGATTTATTTCTGTTCTTTGTAATGCTTTCTGTTCTCCTCATTTTATATTATTACATTACATTCTTGTAAGAACATTCAGATTTGCTCTGCTAAGTCATACAGGAATAGAAACAATCTTTAGGATTATTCTTTTCTCATACTTGAACACGACCAACAACAAGAAAACACAAGACAACACAAAAAACTGTATGAAGTTTTCTCCTACATTTCTCAACAATAATCTCAAAGCAGGAGAAACCTTCCAGGATTACTAGTAAATTTCAGTCATAGACTGATGTAAAAAGCAGTGCATAAAATATTTCAGCTATAAATTACAAAGCAGGTTTTTTTTTAAGTTTGAAGGAAATACTTATGGTTATTGTCACTCATTTCTGAGAGATATTTAATTAAAGGAGCTAAGTGCAATGGTAGATAAATTCCTCATGAATGTGATCACTGGCTGTGATCATCACATAGACAAAACCTTAACTACAAATTTATTAAGTTTGGCAACATCTCAGTGAAGTAGAACAGTATCAAAGGTAAAGGAAATTAAAGAACTTCCTCTGCAAAGGAAGAGGCATTCTGGAGTGGGAAAAGGATTCATTCCATTTTAGCCTGAATGTTCAAGGTAAACAAATTTCCATGTGGAAGTGCCCCTGTCTTTTTATTGGCTTGGCTTGAGAAGGAGCCTATGCAAATAATGTAGACTAGCTATATCAAATTTCTATATCCCTAAAATTAGATTAGATTAATCCTACTCTTTATACCCTTTACTGTGCCCCTCCTGTATTGCAATGCACCTTGCAGAACCACTTCCTCTAATGCAAAAGGGATACTAAATGCTAAATTTAATTTGAAAACATTTTACTCGCCGTACACAGTCACCCCACTGATTTGAGTGAGGACAAAAGATACGGAGGAACAATGAACTGGAGACTTTGTCTCCAGCTCTGTGCTCTGGGATGCATACAGGCTTGGCGAGTGCCATGGAGAAAGTCCAATGCTGCCACTGCAGGCTGAAGCGGGGAAGGTGAATACCAGAAGTCCCTAAACAATCATGTGAGTGGAGTTGCCAGAGAACTTCTTAATTCACTCCTGACCTGTTTGCTATAATAAAGTATATGAACTATGCCGATAAGACTGTTGCAAAATCAGTGCAAAGGGAATGGGTGATTTAAGGTTTTACATACATTTACTTGGGCAAAAATCACACCAGATGAATCAATTAGTCCAACTGCTGGAAATGGAAAAGCCAGTCACATGGTTTCTGACTTCTTCAGAATGCGTCTTCCACAGAAGAGTGCAAAAGCTTGGAATATGATAAAGTCAAGTTTCTAACATTTAAATTATTTGCTAGGAAGTTGTCTCTTTGGTTTATTAACAATTTCTATCACAGTTAGGATCTGGTCTTTCTCCTAGCAAAAAAAAAAATAAAATAATACTGTTCAGTTCTAAAAGAGCTAGATAAGAATCATGAATGCAGTTTTACATAGGAGGAAATTAAGGCATTGTCTATCTAAGGATGTGATTATCATAACCTTGGGAGAGAATTCCTAGTGTCTGAACAAGGGTCCAAAACTGAATTCAGATAAAATTTGGGTATATGGGGATTTTCCAAACAGCTGCTTGACTGCATGAAGCCACCAGGACCTTAGCAACATCATAATTTCTAGGAAACAGACTGGGCAAATAAAGGACATAGCCTGGAAATCAGTGCTCAAACAGGTTTTTCTAAAGCATCAATCTGTTCTTAAGACTATTCCAAGAACAGAAAATATGGTTATTCCTGGACTCACAAACTGAAGAGGAATCACATGAGAAGCGAGAATTGGACATGGACCAGATAAGCTGATTTAAATCAAGTGAGATGCATAGATGAAACGTAGCTCTAGATGTGTTGAAAAGTCTTAGGCAAAAAAAAAAAAAAAAAAAAGATTATAGGCAAATAAGATCATTATCATGATGGAAAAGAATCTTTAACTTTTGAATCAAGCCCTGAAAGACTTGCAAGATTTTCCTTTAAAGAAAGAGCTCCATCTGTTTCTACCAATCTGCAGGTCAAACTTGGGAAACATCTGTGTCACCCCTGTGATGAATGGAAGTGGAAGCTGGAGAGGCTAGCCCAGAAGAATCAAGGCCTCTCAGTCCTTGGATGGTTCATAGCTACACTTACTAAATGCCTTCCCAAATACTACTGACATCATTCATTCACCTATACATTCAGATGACTTCCTAAATAGTGTCATCTGGGGAGGAAAGCCACTTCATTACTTTGGAGGGATTATACTAATATAAAAATAGTAGCATGTCAATGAATGACCCTTCATGTTGATTTTCCTGTAGAAGGTCAGTTTAAACAAAATGACCAAATATTAGGTTTAAATTAAGAAACACGCATTTTTAAAAAGTCAGAACTCTTGATGTCAGATTAATACAACTCACTGTGATTTTTATACAGTATATTTTTTCTCTAAAATAAAAAATAGACTGGCTGTCTACATTATACATATATTTTCAGTAAACCACAAAGCCTCTCACATAAACCAAAAAGTCAATCTGAAATCTTGCAGAACCCTAGGTACTCTGGGATTCTACAAATTAATCACTTGCTCACCATTTATGCAGACACCTGTAAGATGCTCCTGTAACTTAAAAATGTTAACAGTTCTTAAGTTTGCAGCATTAGTGAGGTTAATGTTTTCATTAAAAATTGTCATCTTAATTCCCTTTCTCTAAATAAATTTACTTAATGATTAATCCAGTGGTAGATGGTACAACTGATCAAAACTGTCTTTCTTCTATTTTCTAATTGTTATTTTCCATTCCTCTCAATAGGTATGTCATAACCTAATACAAACATTTGTACATCAAACAATAAAATCAAACACCAACCCCTGTTACCTTAGGCTGGATTCTTCTATTTCTTCTCATTCGTAAACAAGAGTTACTGAAGAAGCCAAAATCACAGCAACTCTCGCTGTTTCTTTCTTTCCCCATAATGACAAAGCTCCACGTTTTAAATCTATCTCCATTAAATTGCTCTCCTTGTCATTTAAACCTGACGCTACTTCTCATCTAATCCCGCCTGGCCACACGGGTGCCCTTCTATGAATAATAGAATGGGGTGATTGATGATTTTTATGGGTCAGCTGGCTGGAATCAAATCA